GCAACAGGGGCACGGGGGTGACGTCACAGGAAGCAGCCACAACCCCACGGCCAGGCTTCGCACCTCGAGCACCCGCGCATGCGCCCTCCGCCCCCGGCCGGCGCAGCCCGGCGCTTGAACACGTGGCCGGGCTCCAAACCCGCGTCGCGCACCCCAAACCGCTGCGTTCTAGCGCCCCTCCCCCCGGGCACCCACCTTGGAGACGGAGCACGTGCTCATGTTAGCCCACCCCTCCCCCCGCACGTGCGCGCAGTAACGGCTGCCCCCAACCGGAGCCCGCGAGCTGTACGGGCGAGGAAGTAAAAGGGGAGGTGCTAACACATGCGCACTTGGAGAAGGGCGGCAGCTTTTTCTCATCCCTAAAGGCTCCTCCCCCCTCGCGCAATAGGACCGTCCATTCCCTGCCCCGCCCCCCCAGCGGGCTGGTTCGAACACCGGAAGGAGGGAGCGCGAAGAAACGGAACCCCTCCCAACCCACACCTGATACAGTCCAGCCTGACCCTTCCCCAGTTGAAAGTAGGATTGACTCTACCCTCGCGGGGGGGATTCCATACTTGGCAGTGGCGGGTGTTGCTGCGGAGCTATGGCGGCTTGTTACTTTCGGAAGAGTATCGCCTCTCAGGTACCGCGTTCCCGGCGCCGAGGCGTCTCTGCTGCGAGAGGTCTAACCACCCGCCTCCTCGTCCCTCCCCCCCGCTCCGCGGCCACTCAGGTGGTTCAGTCCACCTGTTCGGAACGCAGCGTGGCACTCCCCGACTCGCGGGTCTCCTGCTGGCAGGGGACAACACCAGGACCGTCAGGTTGGATATTAGGAAAAACTCTGGCACTAGGGGGGGAGTGAAGCACTGGAATGGACTACCTAGAGAGGTGGTGGAGTCTCCGTCCTTGGAGACTTTTAAGACCTGGCTAGACAAAGCCTTGGCTGAGATGATGTAGCTGGGGACAGTCCTGCTTGAAGCAGGGGGTTGCCCCTCCTCGGGTCCCTCCAACCCTCACTTACAATGAGTAAGGGAGGCCTCATAGCTTTGCGTGGTGGGCCTTGGCCCACCATCCCATTGGCATATCAAAAGGCCTGGTTTTCCTGTACTCAGCACCATACCTAGACTCCTAGCAGCCTTGGGCAGGCTTTTAGCAGAGAAGGTGATGATGATAACTGAACAATAGAAAAAAATACCAATTTTGGGCCCCCTCTTTTCCCCTTTTGCCCATGCCTGTGTCTGGCCTTGCCTGCATTTGACCCCTTTGGGATGAGGCTCCAAGTGTGCCCTTGGCTTAAGCCCTGTCCATGGCTCACTGAGCCCCAGGATCTCCTGGTCAACCTCCTCCCAGCTCTGGCCAAGTGCTCCATCTCCCAGACCAGGAGGGTTGCATTGGCTGGGGGGGACCTGGCTGCCTTCATCTCAGTGTCTGGGCAGGGTTGCACTGGTTGGCTGCACAGGATCCCTCTGCTCATTCAGTGGGTGCAGGCTGGTGTGCTCTGTTTCATGTCCCTTTCTGTACTTCTTGTGACCCTCATCCTCTTCCCCATTTTGCTTTTGTTTTTCTTAAACTATTAGTTGTTGTATTACCAGTTGCCTCCCTTATTAAGGGGGACAGGGGGTGTAGTTTTTGGTAGAGGGCCTAGGCCCACAATATCTTCAGCACAACAATAGGCCTGTTGGCTTGATCTGCTGACCTGGAGTCAGAGCCCCAGTGGCCTCCTGTTCACAGCTGCTTTAATCCAAGTCAAGATGAAAACGGGTGTCCCAGGACTTCTGGGACAAAGCCTTGCATCCTAGGATCCTACAGACGCAAGCCCATTGTCCTGCTTGAGGTCCCTGGGAAGTACCATGATGACACACTTTCCCCAGAGCTGTGAGGTAATGGTAGAGTGGCCATATGTTCCAAAGGAAGAGACAGTCCCAGATTTTGAAGGCCACTCCCAGCCAGTTGGTGAAAATTAAAGCAAACGTCTCAGAATCAGAGGGGCATGGGATGCAGTCTGGCAGGAAGGCCGAGCAGCATGGAGCACCAGGCAGCCCTGCCAGACTGCACCTGTGCTACTTCCCATCAACATCTGCCAGTGCCTGCAGCAGTGTTGCTGACTTTGGGGGGAAAGGGGCAGTGTTCCAGATGTCCCAGATTTTCTTATGGTCACTCTGGTTAATGGCCATTCCAGCTGCATGTGTAAATAACTGTCCCATGCTAGTTTTGATGGGAGTCCAAGACCAGGACAGTTAGACCCAGGATAATCCCTATGCCTTTGGCTAGAAACAGATGACCGATTCAATTCATCTGGTCTCTCAGTAAACAGACCTTACAGATGGACAGGCACCCATTGTCCTACATTAAGTATTGGTGAAGGTACTTTGCCTCTGAACAGTTGTGGCTAACATGAGTCAATTGTCACTTAAGTCTCATGTGTAAATGACTGTCTCTCTGCCTGTTTTAATGCAGGTGTAAGCCTGGGACAGTCGAACCCAGGATAAACCCAACATCTAGTTCTGACCATAAAAACCCTGCTGCTTTGCATTGCAAATGTCCCCCAGGGGTAAGTTGGGCTGGTTTAATTCCAAATTTGTGCTGCTCAACCTATCCAGCCCTGCAGGCTGGGTAGCAGCAGGGGAATGGATGGCACAGGGTAACTCCTGGAGCTGCCTTCTGCCGTATACACTGCTGCCCCTTAGGAGCCCTCAGTCCCTTCATGGGCTTTAAAGCAAGGGGAGGGCACCTTTTAGCAGAGTCCTGCAGGGACCTTCCACTGCCATCCTTCCAAGGGCTGTTCCTCTCCTCCCTGTGCTTGGCACTAGCCAGGGCAGCACCATTCAGGGCTTAAACTGATCGCCCAATGCAGCCCCTACACTCCCACCACTAGGAAGCAGCATCCCCAGACTGTCAGCATGTTTTGGCTTCCCCTGCAAGGACAGACCTCTCCTTCTCCAACTGCTGCTGCTGCTCTGCTGATCCCAAGAGCCAGTCAGCTGCAGGGACTAGCCATAGGGGAGAGCCTGTGGCTGCTCCATTGAACTATCACGTCCTGCTCCTCCTACTGAGGCAGGTGCATTTGGGAGGAGCAGTTCCTTTAATGTCAATCGCTGCATGGCTCAGGGATGGAGCCAGACAGCACAAAGGCTGCTGTGGCAGCAATGGGGTTGGACCAGGTTCAGCTGAGCCCATGGATACCAAAGAAATAGAGGGAGCTTTGTAGCAGCTGCTGCTGAGTTGTCGTTGGGCAAAAGGAGATTCCAGTGTGGGATATCTAGTGCCTGATGAGGGAGCAAAGAGTGCAGGAGCAGCCACAGGTGCAAGAATCAGTGCTCAGTTCTGTAAAGAGGTGAAGGGCAGCTGGGTGCTGAAGTCTCATCAGCCTGGAAGCTGAGCAAAGAAACAAGGATGTGTGTGTGCAAGGACTTAGGCAGTACAGGATTGGAGATGTTGGGAGGCAGTTCCTCTTGGCAGCAGGGGCTCTGTAGCACTTTTAGAAGAATCTAATGGCACCCTGGTTGATGATCATGGGCATACCAGTTCTCTTCTATTCTGTATTTGCACTCTCAGGTGCTTTTCCTATGGATAGCACCTCATATTTGTTTTTGTTGACTTTCATCTTGCTGTCTATAGCAAATTAATCAGGATGCCTTTGAGTTTTGACATGATTCAGAGTGTTTGCAGCCTCCCCCCCCCAGTTCTGTCTCATCTGCAGATTTGATCAGTATGCACTTTGACTCTGTATCCAAGTCACTGATAAAAATATTAAACAATACAGGATCAAGAACAGACTCCTTTGAGATCACCCTGCAATCCAGCATTGATCTATATGGAGTTACTCTTTGTGGGTATTCAACCAAATATGTATCCACCTAATAGTAATTGTAGCTAAACCAAATTTCTCCAGTTGTGACTCTGAAAACTGTATTGAAGTCCAGGACATTATGTCCACTTTCCCTTATCAAACTGATTAGGCTTGTCAAAGAAGGAAATTAAGATAGTGTGACACGATTTAGTTTTGACAAATCCTGTTGTTTAGTAGTGATTGCCCCCTGACTCCTTAAGCACAATTATCCAAGTTATGCTTGCCTGGTTTCTAGACCAGGGCTGTCCAACTTCTGAGCATCCAGGGTTGCATTTTGTGGGTGCATCTCTACATGTTATTAATGTGACACAAACTCCAGAGCAATTCAAGCCAGAATATACTGCTTCTATGCATAGTGTCTACAAACATGCCTGGGACAGCAGCAACTTGAGCTGGGGCAGAGCAGGCCTTTGGCTGGCTGGGCTGACTGTCTGCAGTTTACTCCCATGGTCAGCGTTTATATGTGCATTTCAGCAAAATAAATTACTCTGCCATAAGATAGTGCTATCCCCAACAGTACAGGAGACCCTTGCCATTCGTTGGGGATAAGTTCTGGAAATCCCTGTGAATGGTGAAACCCACGAATACAGGCTAACTCGGAGATGGAACTCAGGCTAGCATCCATGATCAAGGACAACAAAAAGTCCTTTTTCAAGTACATCAGGAGCAAGAAGAGGGCACCAGGCAATGTATGGCCCCTGCAAGGCTCAAATGGTAATCTTGTGGTTATGCCAGACGAGAAAGCTGATATTTTTTAACAGTTTCTTTGCCTCTGTTTTCTTGAACAGGGACCAGGACATCCTTCCTACCAGAGGTAGGGACAATCTTGGGGATGGCTCTGTCAGGCCTTGGCTCAGCACAGATGTAGTTGGGGATCTTCTGGAAGGGCCGGACATTTTTAAATCTGCAAGTCCAGATGCCCTCCACCCGAGGGTGTTGAGGGAGCTGGCAGGGGTCATCGTGGAGCCCTTGGCCCAGCTGTATGAGCATTCATGGTCATCTGGCCAGGTGCCGAAGGACTGGAAACTAGATAATGTGGTCCCAATTTTTAAGA